GATTTACGATATAATCTCACCATTTCTGACCATGTCTGATTCATTTGTAAGAAGCTTATGAGCACCTCTGAGCCACTGAGTGTACTATGGCCACAAAAGAGTTTCAGGCCAATAAAATCCAAAAATCAAATAAAAAAAACAAACAACATTGATCAGCTAATATCCCCCCAAATAACAGCTTTCTATAACAGCTTAAATTGAGCTTTTCTTTTTTGCTGGCCTTCACACATCAGCACATAAAGCAAATCCTGATATGAATATGAAAAATTAACGATTGGACCAGACTGACATGCTGTTTCATAAGATTTTTTGGATAGTTAAAACGGGCTCGATTTTCATGTCTTCTCAATTAACTGAATCATGTGATCACAACTGCTGAGGAGACACAGTCCAAGCCAAGTGACCATCTCTGCTGACATCCTGGAAACAGAAACATTCAGAAACTTTTTAGTCAGTGTTTTGAAAACGGTTGATATGTCATCGAGTTGATAAGCCTCTCACAATTTAACATTTCGCAAAGCCACACCTCCCTCATCTACTGCACAATAACAACCAGTGCATCTCCGATCACCCATCTGGTCACTACACACTTCAGACCCACTGGTCATTACAGTTGAAAACACCAGTAGGTGGAAGTCTTCGATAATTGCCTGTCCACCATCTTTTATTTAGTGTACTGTACGTGTAGTACATGACAGTGGTGATGCCAATGACATGTGACTCTTCACTTTAGGCTTCTGATATGTCCAGGTGATGTGGAGCCTTAACATTTTTCTATTTTCATTTAAAAAACGCCAAAACTAACATCATACTACGCAAAAATCAGAAAAAAAGTAAATGTTCTTGAACCATTCATTGACAAACCCTATGTGATAGTGCTGCTTACGTAGGTCTTTTCGTTTTCATTAAAAGGTCATTTTTAGAAGTATGTGCAGTATATACATCCAATTTCAAGTGCACCTGAGATTGTTGGGATGAATCTGACTGCTTTGAACATAATCTGCTCAGTTGATTTATCACATGCTCATTACTCCATGAGTGATGCATTTTCATTTTCCCTCTGCAGGTATGTGTTGGTGGGTGGGAGGATCTATTTTACAATTGTTTCCTTTATCTCTGATAAACCAGTGCACAATTAATAAAAAATAAGGATTGCACTCAAATTAGGACTGCAGAGTGTGTGAAATAAAAGACCTAACCAGGATAGATGCTTTGTTATATTCCCCAGCAGTAGAGTTTCAGTTTTGCTTCCATATATTTCCAAACTCATAAAGTTTATTACATAAAAGGAGTTGTCAAGGCTATGAAGAAATTCAATATGCATCAAGTGAATGTGAGTTT